CTCTTCTCAAAACAGAGTGAGACGGCCGGGCCACCCGACAGTCCCGGCTGCTTGGGAGGCCGTGGCCGGAGGATCGCGTGGGGCCAGGAGCATGAGACCTGCCCGGGCAGCGCAGTGAGGGAGGCCTCGCCTCTTCACCAAAACGAGGAAGTGAAACAGCCGGGCATGGTGGCCCCCAGTAGTCCCAGCTGCTTGGGAGGCTGAGGCAGGAGGATCACTTGAATCCAGGAGGCCGAGGCTGCAGTGAGCTATGACTGTGCTACTGCACTCCAGCCTGAGCACCATCGTGAGACCCTATTTCAGCAAAAGATTTTTAAATTAGCCGGGCGTAGGTGGCCGAGGCAAGAGGATTGCCTGAGCCCACGCGTTTGACAACATCTTGGGCAACTTGGCAAGACCTCGTCTCTACAATCAATTAAAAATTAGCCGGGCGTGGTAGCACGCATCTGTAGCTCAGGCTATGTGGAAGGCTGAGGTGGAAGGATCTCTGGAGCTGGGGTGGCCATGAGTGTGCCACTGCACTGCAGCCTGGGCAACTCAAAAAATTAGCCGGGTGTGGTGGCGTGCGCCTGTAGCCAGCTGCTCAAGAGGCTGAGGCAGGAGAATCACTTGAGCGCAAGGGTTGGAGGCTGCAGTGAGCTGTGATCATGCCACTTCACTTCAGCCCGGGTGAGAGTGAGACCCTGTCGCTACCGGGGAAAAGTGAGGTGAAAGGTCGAAGCGGCCTGATCAAGGGAGACCCAGCAGGCATGGTGACCTCACAGGCGGGTGCAAGTCAGGCAGGGCCCTGGAGAGCCCCAGCAGAGCTAGGGTTACGGGCTGGTCGGGCTGCGCCCTGGCCGCATGCTGGACCCCGCTCGCAAAGTCCCTCAGGCAGACAGATCCCCGAGAGGCAGCTCTGAACAGGGTGGTGCGGCTCCCAGGACGCCGGGCAGCTGCTGCGGCAGGGGTGTCGCCCGGCCCCTGGCCCAGGAGGTCAGCAAAAGGGAGGAGCCCTGGGTGGCCTCGGCGTGTGATGCCGTGTTCTCTGCTGTTTGCAGAAGCTGCGCTCCCTGAGAAGGAGATCCCGTTCCCTGCAGAGCCAGCCCGGGTGGGGCTTCCCTCTGGGGGCCCGTTCCATGTCTGCTCGCCGCCCGCAGCCCCCTCGGCAGCCTCTCTGTCCCCCGCCAGCCTGGGCAAGGCGGACCCCCTTACCATCCTGAGCCGAAACGCCACCCACCCCCTGCTGCACATCAGTACGCTGTACGAGGCCAGGGAGGAGGAGGACGGGGCTCCCTGCGTGCCCCAGGACGTGGGCGACCTCATCACCATCCCCGCCCCGCAGCAGATCCTCATTGCCACCTTCGACGAGCCCAGAACAGTCGTGAGTACGGTGGAGTTCTGAGGGCGCGCGCCGACGGCTGCCAAAAGGCGTCTGCGTTGAGTGCGGCCGCCTTCGGCAGCGCCAGCCCCGGTGGATGCGGCCTCCCCCCGTGCCCGGGGCCCAGCACCCCACCCGCTCCACAGGGTGGGGGGCTGACAGGATCGCCCGGTGCTGGCTCGGGTGGGCCGTAGCTGGAAAGGCAGGAGCCCGCGCCCCTGCCCCACACACTTGGCTGGGGGGTGTGAATGAAGAGTTTATTTTTTTAGCCAATGTCGCCCTGGGCCGGGCTGTGGCAGGACAGCCCGGTGCCCCCAGCCCAGGGAGCCAAGAGGACGCCGGCCAGCGGGCGGCAGGCCCGTGGGCACATGCTCAGGGCAGCCCCCTTCAGGGACCTGACGCCCGGGTGGGGGACCAAAGTCCACCCTCGGGTCAAAGATCAACTGCACTTTCTCCTTGTAGCCTGACATACCTTTTATTTTACTAAGATGAACTAATACGCATATTTATCATCAGGAGACCTAGAGTGAGCGGAACACAAAGTACAGTGTGTGTGAACGGGCAGCGGAAGGCGTGAGCGTGCGTGTGCACCGTCAAGCCTGTGCAGTGTAGATGCAGTCATGTGTGCGGTTGAGCCTGTGCGTGCATGCGTGAGTGTCTGGGTGAAGTGTGTGGGGCTGGCCTGTGCGCGTCAAGCCTGCCTGTTGTGGATGGTTGCGAATGGACGTGTGCACGGTGAAGCCTATGCACGCATGCCAGCAGCTCTGGGTGTGAGAGTGTGCACGATTGAGCCTGCGTGTGCCCCGGGGCCCCCTGGAAGCCGGTGCACGGGAGACGCGTGAGTGAGTGGGCATGTGCGGGCCAGGGTGTGGCCGTGCGTGGGAAGGGGCCCACCGCAATAACCACGCCCCCCACCCGGGCCCCCAACCCCACCGCACTGCCCCCGTGGGAGCACGCGGTCCCTCCCCTTTACCTCAGCCGCGGCAACCTGCAAGAAGGACCCAGGTGGCACTGAGCATATCAATAAATCCTATTCTGATAACCGCCTGTGCCCGCCAGGATCCACCTCCCTGCGCCAGGCGCCTCCTGCCCGCCCTCCACACGTGTCCCGCTCGGGCGGCCTGGGGAGGGGGCGCCAGGAGCCGCGGGGCGGGCTGCCTCCGCCAGAAGTGTGACGCAGAGGCTGTGGGAGGCCCCACTGCACCCACAGCGAGGCAGGGGCACGTAGCTGTCCCTCCTGGAGCAGGACACGGTGTTGACTCAGGTCCTGGGCACAGGGACAATTCAGGTGTGGTCCTAACCCAACTCCCCGGGCCACAGGCTAGGGAGACAAGTGCATGCTGGCCCCGGGAATACACCCAGTCTTCCTGCCCCTGCTAGGGTCCGGGGGATCCTGAGGCACACTGTAAGATCCAGGAAGGCTTCCTGGAGGAGGCACCCTTCATGTGGTCTGGGGTGCCCAAACGATGGTGAGGGTCCAGGGCTCAGTGAAATGTGGCTGCTCCAGTGGGTGCCCTCTGGAGCCACATGCCCTATAGGCTCCTAGGGTGTGGCCAGAGGCTCCCTGGAGGCAGATATCCGGTGCAGCTGGGCCAGAACTCCATGGGGCTGGGTCGGCGAGCTCAGGGAGGCCCTGGGCATAGGCCCCTCCCTCCCGGAGCAGCCCTGGGGTGGGCAGGCAGAGTCCGCGAGTTCCGGGAGCCAGGATGGGATCCACTGGCCAAGCGCGGCTCCCACAGCTAGCACGGGCCTGAGGCTGCACCCGCTCTCCGCCTCCGGACAGAGGTTTCGTTACTGTTGGCCAGCCGCCTCTGGGAAGGCAGCGAGCCCCTCAGACCCCACAGGAGGGAGCCCCACCCTGCCAGCTATCTGGTGGCACCGTGGCCACTCAGGACAGGGGGTGCCAGGGGCTGTGGGTGGAGTCTCTACCGGGGCTCCAGGGCAAAGTAGGGAGGCTGTGGGGCCACCCCAGCTGCTGGGCCTGGGCTTGGGCCCCAGTAATGGGCAGGGATGGCCAGAGAGCGGGAGCCCAGAGAGCAGGCCACATGGGCTCTGGCCTTTGCTGCGCAACTGCAGCCCGGAGGGACTGTCTCCCTAGGGCTGAGGTCAGGGCATTGGAACGCAGAGCACAAGGCATGGCTCTGCCCCAGCCCCAGAAGGCGCTCCTTCCAGCAACTGGGATGCCCACCCTGCCGGCCTCCCGGGTGCTCAGTGCCCACAAGTCCAGGGAAGACCTTGGTGCCCACAGGAACCTGCACAGCCTGGTCCTCAGGAAGAGACCCCCACTGCCACAGTCTGTCTCCGTCACTGCTGGGCGGCCTGGGGCCGGGTAGAGCCGGCCTCCCTGACCCTCCCCGCCCCAGGGCAGCCCCCATGATCCCACATACCCGGCAGCTCGACCTCAAGTGGGATGCACCCTTGAGTCCTCCCAGCTTCCCAGCCAGCGTGGTCTGGGGTGCCCAAACCATGGTGAGGGTCCAGGGCTCAGTGGAATGCGGCTGGTCCTGTGGGTGCCCCCTAGAGCCACGTGCACTACAGGCTCCAAGGGTGTGGCCAGAGGCTCCCTGGAGGCAGATATCCGGTGCAGCTGGGCCAGAACCCCATGGGGCTGGGGTGGGCTGGGGCATGGAGGCCTTGACCTCAGGACCGGGACTGCAAGCTCAGGGAGGCCGCCTCAGCACGTCCAGGCAAGGGCAGGGCACGCTGGCCAGTGAGCTCGAGCTGGCCAGAGTGAACATGGGAGGCCCCGGGCCTAGCCCGGCAGACATTTCAGAGCGAGTCCCGTCCTGGAAGTCAGGGCTATGAGTAGCTTGCCGCCCTGCTGCGTGGCACTGACCCTTGCTTGAGGCCTCCGGGAGGGATGGCGGCATCCAAGTCTGGCAGAATCTCAGGCCTTGCTGCTGGTGCCTGCAGCTCCTGCCCACCCCAGGTGGATGTGCCAGTCCCTCCCCAAACCGTCCCCTCCTGCTTTGTCAACCGTCCCGCTCCTGGGAGCAGGCGGTGCTGGCCACCTGGCTGTGAGGGCACAACATGCCCCCCAGCCCTGGACCTCCCTCTGACTTCTGTCCAGGGCTCCTGCCCCGCCTGGGACCCAGCCTTTCCTCGATGTCCACCCCCTAAGGCTGGCTAGGGACCGAGATGCCCCTTTTGAGTGCAAACGGCTCTCAGCTGCGTTCGGTCCCTGCTGCTGAGGGCCCCGGGACCACCCCCGACACAGGGCAGGCCCTGAGCCCTGGCCCTCCCTGTGTCTCCTTCCCTGCTCACCTCGGAAACCCCTCTAGCTGTAGATACACAGAAGGGTCTTCCTTGCAGGGTTGGGGTCTCAGGGTGCACATCCTCGTCCTGACCCTGCCTGCCCACCCGCAAGGAAGGAGCAGAATCCCCCCCATACAAAAGCATGCTTGAGGGCAGCTCTTTAGAAAGCGAAATTCACCCTGGCATGTGGGTTGGCCCAGGCCCTGTGGCTGAGGCCTGCCTCAGTTTCCCTCCAGCACAGCTGAGGTTTCCTGCCCCTCACCGGCCAGTGCAGCCCCTTCAGAGGGTGGGTCCCATTCCTCCCCTGCTGTCCACTGCCCGCTGGGGACTGGGCATCTTCCTCTCCCGACAGGCCCCTGCCCTGGTGATTGCAGGAAGGTGGGATAGGCAGCCCAGGGACCTGTGTTCGTCTGCAGTGCATCACTCTGCCAGCCCCCATCTCCTCTCCAGCCCTGAGCAGAGGTAGGCAGGGCAGGCAGGGCCCCGTCACTCACGGGAGGGGGGTGTCCAGGAGAAGCTGCACCCCCTGGCAGCCAGGCCCAGGCCTCCAGCCCAGCGCTGGAAATCTCAGACTCACTCCAGACTGGCCCCGTGACTGCAGTAAATGGGCAGAGGGGAGCCTGGACCACCACCTCTGCTGGCCAGTGGCCGAGGGGCAGGCAAGCAGGAGTGACCAGAGCCCTGTTCAAAGGCAGTGAGCCACGTGATGCTGGAGAGTGCGAGGACCAGAGGCCTGGGCCCAGAAGCAGCAACCGTCACCAGGACGGACAGGCCACTCTGAGGCCCTCTGGGAAGCTGTGTGTGGGCGAGCTCAACGGGCAGCCCACCCAGCCTGGTAGAGAAAGGAACAGGGATTTCTCCATGGACCCAGCACGGGAACCCGTGGCCCCTGCCGGTGGGCAGCGCCTCGAAGGCGGGCGAGACCTTTCTCCCTGGAACCCGAAGCGGGGCCAGTCTTGGGGACGCGACCGGGGACTTCCGTGGGTGCTCGCCAGCAAGGAGACCACCTTGCCCAGCCATGCTGGGGGGAGAAAGCCAGGCCGGGCCAGTGGGCAGGCGGGGGCAGCGCCGGGGGGCC